AACATGTTCTTGGTTTAGGCAGAGATAACTTTGCTATGTCACCAAAAGCAGAATCTACCAAAGAAACTATTGACAATCGATTTACCATAATACACATTTTAAACTTCTATCTTCTCTAAAAGATATTGTTACGATCTTGCAAACACAAGCCACAGGCTGATAGAAAATATTTCCAACAGGTCAGAGTAAGTGTAAATTACTTCTGGTCACATTTCTAGCAATTGAGATAGCCTGGCTCTTAGCAATTTCACATTCTCCTTGATTTTTTCTTTTTCTTTTTTTAATGTTTTTATTAGTATGGCTTCATCATTTGTTCTGAGAGAGGCCCATCTGTCTCTTGTCTCTTCCCCACTCCATCTGTCTTCCCATTGCATGCTCTCTCCCTCATTCTCTTTGACCTTACGATTTGAATTAGTGTAAAATGTCTTTGGCACTATCCAGAGTGAATGAAAAGCTGAAGACTCTCCATGTTGCTACAACAAAGCCAAGCCAAGTAAATCAATTAGAGGAAAGGGGTAGGAGCAGGAAAGTGTTGGGTAAGAAGTTTGTTTACTTATTTGTGCATGTGTGCATGTTTAATTTCACTTCATCTAAAAAGAAAAGGACTCCAGCTGAGCCAAGGGAAGAGTTTTTATTTTTTTCTTCTTAGATTGAACTTTCTTAATGTAACATTTAAAAAAAATCTACAATTAGTGATCGGTGCTCTGCATATACACATTAATATATGTGTGTATATATATATATCTGTTGGATTTAGAATGTAGCTTAAAAATTGCATTTTTAAATTTAAAACTTTCTACAGTATTAAAGGGATAACAATGATCAAGATCCATTGCATTGATATACTCTTTTCTTATTGAATGACAATGCCTTTGTACAACTATTTAAAGATAAAAATAAAATAACCAAAAAAAAAAAGAAAGAAAAATCTCAAATATACAAAAAGGTAGAAAATGAATAAAATTAACACACTCAACATTTTTTAACAGTTGGCTGGATTTTTGTTTTGGTTTTTATCTATTTTATCTAATATTTACCTAGATTTTCATTTCTTTCGGCACTACTCAAAGGCAGATAGATGTTAAACATTACCATTTCTAAAAATTAAAGACATTCTCCCTATATAACAATAACTCTACAACACTCAAAAAACCCAATTCCTTAGTAGTGGAACCATATTTAAAAGTTCATAACAGATACCACACTTACCAAATTATATCCAATCAAGGGCTATACATTTACTATTATTATGATTATTATTATTTTGTCAGTCGTGGGGCTTGAACTCTGGGCCTGGGTGCTGCCCCTAAGCTCTTCAGCTCAAGGCTAGTGCTCTACCACTTGAGCCACAGCGCCACTTCCGGTTTTCTGGTGGTTCATTTGAGATAAGAGTCTTACGGACTTTTCTGCCCAGGCTGGCTTTGAACAGAGATTGTCAGATCTCAGCCCTCTGAGTAGCTAGGATTACAGATGTGAACCACCGGTGCCTGGCTAATTATGCTTTTTTTTTTTTTTTTTAATTATGTGTCTTAAGCTCTGATAGTGTAAAATACTTCCTTCACTTTTTCTTTTTGCCTTATGACATTAATAGTGAAGACTTCAGGTCAGCTGTGTGGTAAAACTGTTCCCAGGTAATGCTGTTAAACATTTTCCCAGAAACTTCTGTGTTATCTGTAAACTAGAATTTGGACCCACAGGCTTGATTAGAGATCAGCTGGAACATTGTAGCAAGACTTCCTACAAATTACTTCAGATACCCTCTGGGGTAGCACATCATGACTAGGTTGCCCTGGTTTTAGAGATACCATCTTGGAGCCATGGACTAAGACAGTAGCAATGCCATCTCTCCACTGCAAACATGGAGGATTCTCCCTTTGCCTTCATCAAAACAAACGTCTCATTTTTCTATCAACCTCTGATCTATCTGTTTTTTAAAAAAATTATCGATAAATTTGATGAAAATCGTTTATCACTTAAAATTTAAGCCTTTTTTTTAAAAAAAGAATAAATTATCATCATAGAGGACAGGATACATGGTTAATTTTTCTCTCTCTTTACAACTAATTTCCAAAGTGAAAAGTTGTGTAATGTTACTCCAAGGATGTCAGGTGATGTTTTTATCTGGGCCAATCTCAGATCCTGATGCGGCTAACTATGCCTCTCAGGTCGCTGGGATTACTCATATGAGCCACCACATGAGTTGAGATGGGTCCTGATCTTTTTGTTGAAACTGGCCTTGAACCATAATCTTTCTGGTCTCTACCTCCTGACTACTAGGTATTTCAGGTATGAATCACCAAAGCTAGTTTCAGAAATCATAAGCTTCTTAAAGGAGCTTGGATTCCTTTCAGTAGAAAATAGTATTTCAAACCCCAAATCTGAGAGCTGGAGAGTCTTACCTCACACTGTAATATCATTGCTTCTGAATCCTTTAGGGCTCACACCTAAGAAATGTATTTTTAAAATAGCAGGAAGTAATATTTTCCAATATTTTCAGTATTTTCCCTGTTTATTGACAGTTTGGATTTTTCTCAACTTAATTGACTTTACTTTTACTTTTTCTTATGGAGAACATCTTAACTAGTTTTACTATGAACAACGTGCTTATTTTTAAAGGTTTAAGATGTCTTAGCAGTATTTTTTTTGGCCCTAGATATCTTTATTTGTTTTTATTACACTGAAAAGCTAAACAGGTTGTTTGGACATTTACTATTAAGTGGCAAAGCTGAGAATCTATGTAGATTTATTTGACAACCATTTCTTTTTCTATGTCCATTTTTTAAGAAACCAAATTGTAGGGAAATAGATGGACAATGAAGAACAAAAGCAACCAATAAGAATAACCATGAAAATCTAGAAAGGAAATGGAAATCTAAATCTAGGAGCTGATGTTCAAACATAACAACTGCTGATCTATACCTTAAGTTTCTTGCTTTAAAAATTCCCAGGAGTCTCTTAGGAGACAGAAAAGGTATCATTATATTTTTATAACCTACACACACTTAAATTTGTCCATCAATAATGAATAGTCATTTTCTTTTTTATCTTCTTTTACGTTATTTTTTGTTTGTCTGTCATAGGGCTTGAACTCAGGCCCTGGGCACTGTCCTTGAGCTCTTTTTGCTCAAGGCTAGTACTACCACTTTGAGCCACAGTGCCACTTCCATTTTTTTGAGTGACTAATTAGAGATAAGAGTCCCATGGGGACTTTTCTGCCCTGGCTGGCTTTAAACCAGGATTCTCAGATTTCAGCCTCCTGAATAGCAAGGATTTACAGGTGTGAGCCACCCTGGCCTGGCTTTACATACTCATGTTCTAGGAACATAGAACAAAAGACTATATGTGACATTGTCCCAAAGCATCCGATTGTTCAATGCTATGTCTATTATTTTTGCAGAATAAAAAAGGCTATAGAAGGAGGATGAGAGTTGATGAACAGACAACTGAAGGAGAAAGTTTCATGGCTCAATAACTCTGAACCACAAGTTAACAGATAGAGTTCTTCTAAAGCGCTTTATCGTATTTCAGGTTCTTTAAAGTCCAGCTGCGCACAGGTTTCCTCTCCATGTCATGATCGGCCATAATGTGTTTCAAACTTCAGTTTTAGCTCTGTAAAATGGGAACCTTTGTAGCCTCTCTTATACAGTTGCTAAGAGACACATGAGAGTTTTACAAGGGGCAAAGCGCTGTGAAGTAGTATGAGGTGTTATCAATTTGAAAGCGGATAGTGATGTGAGCGGTAGGTGGCTCGTTCTCGTAATCCTAGCTAATCAGGAGTCTGACATCTGGAAGACTGAGGTTTGAAGCCAGTCCAAGCAGAAAAGTTCTTGAGATTCCATCTTCAAAATAACCAGCAAAAGTGTTAGAACGGAGGAGTAGCTCAAGTGGTAGAGGGCAGATCAAGCAAGCAAAGCTGAGCAAGTTTGAGAATCTGAGCTGAATCCTAGGTCCTGTCCTTTCCCCCATCCCCCAATAATAACAGTTATCAAGTGAAAATTGTGAGGACATAATTTAAAGGCAATGTTCCATAGAATATACAAATCAAGAGATAATACCAAATAAAATTTATTTCTATTGAAGACACAGTTCCTTAAAGCACAGTTCATAGTTAGCTTATTTAAACTGTGGCTATAGCTTACTTTTTGCTCTTGACTTTGATCTCTTCCTACCGTATGTCTTCTCTCAGAAAGTATCTAATTATAACAGCAAATAATCATTGAGTTCTTCCGATGTGCCAACCACCATTGCAAGCTCATGGAGGATCTCATTCTGTCCTCACAAAGCACACGTATTAATAGATATTTCACACCTTGTTTCCTAACCTTCAACAGCTCCTCATTGTTTCACCATGGAATAGAAAGCTTTTTTTATTGTTCTCAATATAGGTCTTTTAGATAAATCTCCTACTATCTCCTCTCGCCAGGCTCCAACCAAATTAGATTGCCATTATTTCCCTAATGCATCATGTTTTTGTGGCTCTACATTTACCAACACTTTCTGAGCATTTCCAACAGCTTTTCCAAGCATTACTGCTGCTCATTTTTCAAACCCCAACTTAAATTCTGTCTTTTCCACCCGAATCTTACTGCTGAATGAAGAAAAAAAATTAATGCTTGTTGAATATGTGTTCATTTCTAGGCTTATAATTTCCATAGAAGTTTTTTTTTTTTTTTATATCTCCAGTACAAGGCTTAGAGCTCTGTCTTTGAACAAAGGTAAGGTTAACATGGTTGTTGTTTAGGACTATAATCTACAGGATAAAGACCACATCTGACTCTTGTAGATTATTCTACTGTCCTCTTGTCACGGTTCATAGAATTCACTCATGGATGTTTTCATTTATTGCAGAGTTGTTTAATAATCTACTATGAATCTGTAGATGAATTACACAGCGGTCATGTTCTTTTGGCATTTCTAGCCTAGATGGCTATAAAAACCTTTCACAAATACTAGAATACAATGTGACCCATTTAGGAAAAGTAGAGCTGAATCATGCTAACTGAGGGCAAAACAAGTGGCAAGGGAGATGTACGCCAGGTCCTTAGAGTTGGAGGTCACTAGGGGAGAGAGGTCATCCTGAAAGAGAAACAGCAAACCAAGAATTACAGGCATGATGGTATAAGAAAAGGGAAAGAATTCTGAATGACTGCAACTCGGGAGACCAGCAGGAGGAGGAGAAGCAGACAGGTCAGCCAGATTTTTGAGACCTTGAGTGCTATGCCAAGGAGAAATTTAAAGTACCGTTGAACATATGTTTGCTGGATTGGAGAACAACTTTCTAGATTATCTGAAGAATATATTTTCTACTTTTTTAAAAAAAAATGTGGCTGTAGAATTTCATGCTGCATTATGAATTGATTCCTTTTATCTAATTACATTTGAGGTTGAACTCGACGTTTTGGCAATCTCTTTGGTTGGCTCTGAAATTCTCTCATGCAAAAGCTGTCATGAAAATAAGCAGTTCTTCTAAGATCGGAAGGGTCACAGGAGATGCATGAAATCGGAAAGGCCTCTTCCCAACCCCGGACACCCTGCTGCAATTCTCTAAGGAAGACTGTATTATTGAGAATGATGTAAGTCACATCAACTTTCTAAGGTTAAGAGTTTTGTGCTCTCTCTCTCTCTCCCTCTCTCTCTCTCTCTCTCTCTCTCTCTCTCTCTCTCTCTCTCTCTCTCTCTCTCTCTCTCTCTCTTTCTTACTGAGGAAAGAGCTTGTTCTTCTAAAGAAAAAATGAGATCCTTTTAAAGAACATACTCTTGAATTGTTAGTAAAATGATCCCTTTTCCTCAGTAGCACAGTATATAAGCTATCTAAAATTTAAGCTAAACTGATCATAAAGCTTTTAATTTTTTTTTAACAAATCAATTCCTTGGGCCTAAACCTATCCTTTTGTGAAGAAAATCTAGACCCAGCCATTCTCCTTCCCACTGTTACACACTAATCATAAAATGTCCGGGAGCTTCAAAGATCTATGTAGACAAACGAGAGCTTCAGGAGTCCTTCTGTCTGGAATTTCCAGGCTTCATCCAGTGCTACTATGTGTGGCTGCTGAGTCTTACCTTCACAGATGCAGGGCTATCCCTGGGAAGATACCCTCATGAGCTCTACCGCTAGGCTTACCCCACAATCCTAAATTGTAGCTTTCCAAATCACCACAACCAGAGGAACTTGAAGTTGTAGCCACACAGTATAGCAGAATCAACCTTCCTTAGGCTCCTTACAGAGCCTTCTCTTTCAACAACAACAACAAAGCTAAACCAGCTGCCCAAGTCTACATGTTGACAGAGCAGAGAGGTTGTGTGCAAAGTCCCATCTTCAGATTTCCAAAGCTTTTTTTTTTTCTTTTGGTCAAATGTACTACTTCTAAAAAGAAACTTGTTTTGGATGGGTGTAGTTGTTCCAGCCAGTAATCCCAACTACTTGGGAGGCAGAAATGAGAGGACTGCAGTTTGAGATCATCCTGGATGTGAAAGTTCATGTGGACTCCATCTCAACCAACGGCGGGGCATGGTAGTATGAGCCGCTCATTTCAAGCTATGAGGGAATCACAGTGGCTGAGTACAATTGCTCATTCCTGTTATCCCAGTGACAACAGGAAGCATCAATAAATGGATCACAGTACAGGTCTAGATGGCCAAGATCACTGTGAAAATCACCAATACAAAAGAGGCTGGCGAAGCAGCTCACATGACAGAATATCTTCTTAGCAGGTGTGAGGGCCTGAGTTCAAACTTTTGGGTGCCACCAAAAAGAAGAAACTTATTTTGGATATAAGGATTGAAACTCGGTGGCACACCTTAAGAAACAACTCTCATCATGCCCACTTGATCCTCTTCAGAAAGGAAGATTCCTTGAGTTCAGCGTTGAATATCTCACAATGTGTTGGGTGGTTAGAACATGACCTTTAATTTGAAGGCATTTTGAAAGCCATTTTCCAATAAATTGTGCAAAACTAATTTTCTGCTTCAGTAACCTACTGGTACTATAGTATAGAGAAAGACTCGGGGGGTTTTGTTTGTTTGTTTGTTTTTGTGGCCAGTCCTGGGGCTTGAACTCAGGGCCTGGGAGCTATTCTAAATCCTCTTTGTGCTCAAGGCTAGCACTCTACCACTTTAGCTATAACACTACTCCTGGGAAACACTTTTTGAATGCTACATTTCCTCAGTGAAGATGTTCCTTTCATATGCATGTGGGATTGACAACTTAAGCATGTAGTAAAGCTTTCAGACTGAATTGGGTATGATGGTCTATGCCTGATATTCCAGCTATGGTGAGAAGCATTAATAGTTCAGCCTGGGATAACCAAGCAGGACCCTACCACAAAAATCATCAGAACAAAGAGGGCAGGAGTGGCTCAAGTGATCGTATATCTATCTAAGAAGCACAAATGACCTAAATTCAAAACCCAGTACCTCTAAAAATTTAAAAAAAGGTTTAAAAATACTTCATATCTCATTGAAAAGTCTCAGACAATACTTCCAAGGACCGGTATATATAGTACACAAATCCTTAATAATCTGACCTCCAGCCACACACTAGATTATGTATTCAGCCAACAATATTATGACAACATTTTCAAATTATAATGTTCTATATATAACTATCCAGTAAAGCATATAACGAGGTAGGAAACAGATGGGTTTTGATCAAAACCAAAGCTACGTTAGTTAATTTGGAAAAGAAACCTCAACAATTATATGTCGTTCCTCCAACACAAGTTATTTTTCAAATTCTTATTAATGTTTCATCATATTTCCTCTCACCTCACGTTGTACTCAACAATTTCCCAGAAGTCTCAGGGGTTTCTCTGGCTCCCTTGACAAAGACCCTCACATTGACATGCCCTAGGAAGGCGGAGTATCAGAAAAGATGAAGAGCTGGGCCGGGAAGCAACAAGTTCATGTTAAGCTGTACTGTCTTGGAAATATCCCATTCTAGGTTTTTTGTTTTTAATTTGCAAAATGGAGTAGGCAGTGGAGGAGCTGAATTAGACAACTTCTAAGATTCTTTTCACCTTTGAATTTGTTGACCTCTGGCAAGTTGATTCGATCCTCAGAATTCCAGCCTCCTCACCAGAGATAACGTCACCAATGACGCCGACAACGATGACCTCGTAGGGCTGTGACGATGACCTCGTAGTGCTGTGGTGAAGATCACACAAGAAAATCAGTGCTCCAAACTCTACAGGAGCTCCTGACATCTCTGTGGGAGACCAAGATGGCTGCTCAGGAATCAGGAGCACACATGGGATTTCTGGTGTTTTCCCATTAAAGGAGTAAAAAAATTGATTGTTTTTAGAGGTTAAAACATTCCTTGGTTTGGGGTGATTAAAAGAAAGAGAAGAGAGAATGCATTCCACAAGCCCCTACACTATGAAAACAATGAGAGATGGGGAGTTGTGGAATTCCCACGGTAGATCCTGAGTTCAAACCCAAAGTACCACGAAAAGACACACACACACACACACACACACACACTAATTTTAATAAATATTACAGTGCCAACTGGCCTGTTGTTAGCTTCATCTGAAAAAAAAATCACCTTTTGGCCTGGTATAGTGACTCATTCCTATAGCCCCTAAAACCCAGCAAACCAACATCTTAGGAAGGTCATAGATCGACTCAACCCAGGCAATCGTTCAAGCATACGTCCTTGAGTTTTAAACCCAGAATGGCCAAAAAGATACAATCAGAAACGACCAGAAACAAGCAAGCAACTCAAACATTTATAGTCCAAGTTTTTAAAAACCAATAACTGGGGAGGTAAACTGAAATAGGAGTATAGATGAGTAATGTTTTCTGTATGAGAACTCTGTCAGATAAGTGACAACCTGGGTGATTACAAATGAGTACTTAATGTCATCACTTTTATAATTTGTATGCCTGCAAACCAGAGAAGCATTAAAATGCTTCCTCACTGTGATAACAGTTCCTTCTCCTTTCTCCTGCAAGCTGACAAAATACAGCCTGTTCTTGGCTCACAATACCACATGCTGGTCGCACACAGCTGTTTACAGAAATGCAGCTGGGCTCTGTTGCATGGAAGAAGATGCGGCCAGGTACTCAGCGATCGCAGGCAACTCATGACCTCTAAGCTCTGATTTTAGATTTGGGTTCTGGGAGACGGATGCTGTATTCTTTGTAACTTTTCCGTAAGACACTACCAGTGCACACCCCGTCTGAAAGAAAGTGGCAGATCTCACTTTAAGGAGACCACTGAATCCTTTCACATTCCAGAAATAACACTGCTCCTTGTCTAAGAAGTCACTGAGCAGATATAGCATAGTTTATGCACACATATCTCTTAATCTCCGCTGACAGAGATCACCAAAGTGAGATTTGTTCAGGGGGATAAAGATGTCTCAAGTCTGTAAGCTCTGTCTGCAACGCAAATGAGACAGACACTCGGGGAAAACACCCCGTTTGCCTCACTGGAGAGAGAGGAGGGAGCCAGGGGGCTCGCCTGCACCAAAGCCTGTGGCTCTAGCTACATTTCAATGCAGTGCTTAGTTTATTCACCAGGGGTCATCAAAGGTCTGGATTTTCTTTGTCTACTTGTTGACTCCTATACCCTGTACACTCACAAACCACTGAATTCTTGGGAATTGTGTATCCAGACATTGTCTTGCTATTCTTCGTTCCACTACTCCAGCCCTCCCCGGCTACTTCACATCAAATGATAACTTATTATAGATTATTTTTTACCAATATGTGATAGTAATATGTGGCAAATCCATTCCATCCATTATAGAAATGCCTTTTCTAACGAAGCCAAGCAAGAGAAAGGGGAAAACATGGAATCTAGATTTTTTTTTCAAAGCAATTATTTCTCCAAAGTTAGAAAATAAAAGGTTTATCTAATTATCATATTCTAGATTCAGGAGTCTAATTTCTTTCATGCTTGGAGAACAAGTAAGTCATGACAGGATCTTACAAAGTTTCACTCAGAAATTAGGATCTTGAGGCCATCAAAAGTAAGTAAATGAAGAATTGGGATTTTTAAAAAATACGTATTATGATACTTTTCAATGAAGATTTTGTCATGACATACCAGATTTCCTGTGTCTTGGTGATTGTGATCATGTCTTGATTGAAAACCGCCCTTTAAGCAGTAGCAATAATTAATCTCAGCTTTTTCTTAAAGTATCCCCTAACATAAGTAGACTACAGCTGGTGTAGACAATGTGATTGTTTTTCTTACCTGTACCCACTGTGTCAATCAGAGCACATCCTTAAAAAGTTCTAAGGTGACATGCCAGTTTATAGGCTCTTTCCAGGGTTGCACAGCTCCTGATTAAGAATCAACAATAGTTCCTCTTTCCTCTTCCCCAGAAGACAGCTATAGATCCTTGCTATTCACTTAGAAATATTTAAGCTATATTTCTCTTCACCTATTTTGAAGTGCAACATTAGAGCTTCAATTCACTTGGTTGTAGAATGTTGGAAGTGACCTTGAAATCTAACCCAATCCTTTGTATGTTGGGAAACTGAGCCCAGGAAAAACTTCAGTATTTCAAGTCAGTAGCTGACAGAAATGAAAATGGATTCCCTTTTTTCTGTGTGTGTGGCAGGGGGAGGGGTATGAGTGTGTGTTGGTCCTACAGCTTGAACTCAGAGTATGGAGGCGATCCCCAATTTTCTTTGTGCTGAAGGCTAGCACACTACCATTTGAACCACAGGTCTATTTCTGGCTTTTTTATTTTTGCTAGTTTAGTGGAGATAAGAGACAGACTTTCCTGACCTGGCTAGCTTCAAATTGCAATTCTCTGATCTCAACTTCCTGAGTAGCTAGGATTACAGGAGAGAGCTATTGTACCAGAACTCTTACCAAATAAAGTGTAGATATACATTATAATGCAAAATATACAAGGAAGCTGGGCACCAGTAGTTCATCCCTGTAATTCTAGTTCTTCAGGAAGCTGAGATCTGAGAATCACAGTTCAAATCTAGCCTGGGCAGGAGTCCATGTGTCTTTTATCTACAAGTAACCACCCAAAAGCCAAAAGTAGAGCCGTGGCTCAAGAGACGGAGTGTTAGCCTTGAGTGAAAAGGCTAAGGGGTAAGTGTGAGGCCCTGAGTTCGAACCCCAGCGCCAGCAAAAACAAAGAACCAGAGAAGGTACTACTGTAGAGAAAGGCAATTGAAGCCATGGGAGTACACAGTTGGTGCATCTAGCTCAAGCAATCTGTGAGAACCCAGGGCACGTATAGGCTCCTAAGACTGCTGGTCATTTTCTTACAGGTCTGTCAGTAATGTTACACAACGCTATGGGCCCCACTGGGAAGTGGTTATGTCACCAGAAGAAGTGAGTTTGTTAAGGCATATTATTAAAAGAGGGATTGTGAAAGCTCACACGAGAAGGGGGAAGGCCCTTTGAGCATCCAAAAAAAAAAGCCTTTGGAAATCTTCACTCCACACCACATGAGAAGAAAGCATCTCAACCAAATGCAGAACTCAGGACCTGATTTTTAAGTAAGAAAAATCTTAAACCTAATGGCATACAAAAGTTTTATAATCTTGGCAAGGGGAAAGCAAGACAAGGTCATTTGTTGTTTTGTTCTTTTTCTTTTTTAAAAAATTTTCTGTTGGCATAAAATAGTTCTGAAAAAAAAAAGAACTAGAAACTCTTTAAAAAGCAGCAGTCACCTATTGACCTTACATTGTTTAATGTGAAATCATATAACTCAATACCAACTCCTACTAAATCACTACTTTTTCAAGCACCTTCCAACTAAACAGCAGGACTAGTTATTCCAAAGTGACATTTATATTGTCAAGAGGAAACTCACTGAGTGGCAGAAGGTAAGATAGTGATCAAGAGGAGTGTTACTCTCAGGGTCAAAAGGAGGCAGATATCTGTGAGGGAGATAAGAAAGCATAGAGCTACTCACATCTTCTTATATTTAGACAGTTGGAAAACACTTCAAATTGCAAATTGCTTTACTTGCTGATGTGTGTGTATGTGTGTGTGTGTGTGTGTGTGTGTGTGTGTGTGTGTGTGTAATATGCATATACACATACTTGTATACACAAGAGGAATGAGTAACTTTTGGCTTAGTCCAATATTATTATTTCTTTCTCCACTTCTCTCTTTTTATTTAGTGGTCAGCTTTCTCAAGTTCTGAGGGCATCCACTCTTGTTCTCCTGATCTAGAAAACCATCAATCAGTACTATATCAAGTCCAACATGAGTTAGGCATGATAAAATAGGGGGTCTTTTTTTTTTGTTAAGTCCACAAGGGTTATCTTCTTTTAAGAGCTTTTTAAACAGACTCTCCATCTATTAAAAAAAGATTTCCACTCTGAAGAGTTGTTGTATATCTAATTGTATTTGGGGATGTACCATTTCCAGATATGTAGTTGATAGAGAATGGTGTTTTTGAGGGGTTTTAAGAAAATTGAAATATGGTAGATTCAAGGGAGAACTCAAATAGTGTAATTCCTTAGAAAGACAAAGTCAGAGTTCAACAGGATAAACACCAGGAAGCTGGTACTTGAACAGGGTGGGGTGAGGTTAAGGGGAAATGGGGTAGGTGAATGAAGAGAAGAGAGAGAGAATGCAGTCAAGAATTCAATGTATATCCTACAAAATTAAGAAGCGTGAGGGGAGGGGAGGGGAGAGAAGGGACGGGTGAGAATGTTGAAAGAGGCGACATTGATGAAGACGTATTGTACTCACAAATTGCTTTGTTAAATGGCAACTCCATTATACAACTACTTACAGTGAATTAAATAAAAACAAAAGAACAACACTGGATCCAATTCGTGAAAGAAGAAAAGTCTGCAAATGGCACAGACAGTAGCCCTTAACTATTAAATGTTTGCTTATGGCAGATGATATCCTTGATTTCCTGTAAGACATAGCTCAGCAAAACAAGGTTTTTCAAGGAAGACTGTGGTCAGTCCATCCAGACTCTGTCAAGGAGTGGGGATGTAGCTCAGTGGTAGAGCACTTGCCTTGCATGTGCAAGACCGGATATTCATCTCACCATCACAAATACCAAAGGATCATAGAATATGTCAAGGAGCAGCCATCAGGTCTAGCAACTACCCAAAAAGATGAAGAATGGAAAGAACTAATGGTGTTTAGCATAAAACTGAGGAAGTATTAAGGTTAGCTATCATCTTTAACTGTAAAGGCCATTAAGAGGAAATTCAACTTGAAGAACTCTAAGTTACCAGGAAAAGTTTTCAATTAAGAGGTTCAAAATCAACCTGGGCTTTTCTTTAAT